AAATTCACAAGGGCACACGTGTACACATAAAATCAGCCAATCAATAAATCTCAAGAGCAAAATGAGGTCTGCATTCGGATTTCCACAAGGCTGATCTAAAATCATGTGTGTGGAGAGTGGGTGTACTGTGTACACCTTTAATCCCAGCACTCCAGAAGCAGAGTCGGGCAGATTCCTGCGAATTCCAGACCAGCCAGGGATACATAATGAGAACCCCGAGTCTAAGTAAATAAATATGTGTTTGACGGCAAGGTTGTAAGAATTTTGAGTTAAGGAACAATCTACCCCTCATGGTATTGATCTCATACTTAGACAACACCACATGGGTTTTTCTTTTTCATCTTTAAATTACATTTATTCAGGGCTTAATGATTAAGAATGCTTACTGCTCCATCAGAGGACCTGGGTTCAGATCCTACCGTAACAATGAGTAGCTCACAAAGGCCTGTAACTCCAGCTCCAAGGGATCTGACCCCTCTTGTGGCCTCTTAGGGAACCCACACACTCACGAGTGTGCGCATGCACACACATGCACATACACTAAAATTTTTTTGTTATTGTTTTAAATTACATTAACTAACTAATTAATTAATTTTTCTAGTTAGTGTGTGTGTGTGTGTGTGTGTGTGTGTGTGTGTGTGTGTGTGTACATGCATATGCCACAGCACTCACATGGAGGTCAGAGGACAGCTTGCAGGGGTCAATTCTCACGTTATGTGGCTCCGGTTATGTGGCTCCAGTTACGTGGCTCTGGAATTGAACTCAGGTCAGACTCAGCGGTAACGCCTTTACCCACTGAGCCGTCTCACTGGCCCAAGTACTTTTTTGTTGAGACAGAGTCTTCAGTTGTACCCCAGGCTGGTATGGAACTTGCTCTGTGGTCCACACTAACCTTGCACTCCTAGAAATCCTCCTGCCACGGCCTTCCAAGAGCTGAGATTATAGGCATGAGCCATTATGACTGGATAAGAAAACTCATTTTTTTTTTTGAGGCTGAGGAGAGAATACAAGACCTTGTGCATACTAAACAACTGAGCAATACCCCATAGCTCCCCAAAAGTATTATTTATTTATTACTCTTCATTTAGTGTACGTGTATGTATGTATGTATGTATGTATGAATGTGGGTGGGTGAGAGCTATGACCCACGCCCATGTATGGGAGTCAGAGGACGAGTTACAAGAGGTGGTTCTCGCCCTCCATGTCGGTCAGGCGCGGCAGCAGGCCTGCTTGATGAGCCCTCTCACCGGCTCCGCTTCTCATTTTTTAATGATGGAGTGAAAACAGAGAGCCCCCAGGTATAAAGTATTCCTTATCACTCCTAATTAATCTGCAGTCCTGGAGGCATTGCTTAGTGGGTAGAGCCCTTGCCTAATAGATACAAAGTCCTGAGTGCCATCCCCGGTACTGAATGAACCTGGCATGGGCACGGTGGTGCATGCCTGTAACCCCAGCCCTCCTCAGGGTTGGGCAGAGTCAGAAATCCAAGGTCATTCTTGGCCACAAGGCTAGCTGAGGCTACACGGAACCCTGTTCCCAACAATCTTGAATTTGCACTTAAATGTCACTGATGGAGGCCTAGAAAACCGTGTGATGTCAACATGAGATATCATTCCCCGTTTGAAATCCATAGGGAATAAGCTAAATTTGATGGATTGGTTGATTGATTGTGGTGCTAGAGATTTAACCCAGGACCTTTTGGGGGGCGGGGGCTAGGGGAGATAGTTCATTAGATAAGAGCACTTACCGTACAACCATTAAGACCTGAGTTCAATCTTTAGAACCAACAGGAAAACGAAAGTGGGGGAGAAACAGAATAGTATTCCCCTCTCATCCCAGGACTAGGGAGGCAAACACTTGGGAATCCCTGCCACTCTCCAGCCCAATTGGCCAGTCTCAGGCCAGTGAGAGACCCTGTCTCCAAAGAGTAAGGCCCAGAATGATAGAGGACATCCAGCGTTGACCTCTGGCCCCAAATGCATGCCCCCCCCCCCAAACACACACAAGAACACACACATGCAAAGAGCTCCCATCCAGGGCTGGGGATGTAGCTCAGTAGGAGGGCTCTTGCCTAGCATGCCCAAGGCTCAGAACTCAATCCCAGCACCACCACCACTATGAAAACAGAGACATCGGTGGGCCGTAGAAGGTAGGGCTCGATGGTCTTCACTGGTTTCTGAAGGGTGCCACGGTTTGAGGCCTCCCTGAGACAAGTTGCGGCTTGCTAGCACACCTTGCTCAGCCAGCTTGACTTCCAGGAACAGTCGCTCAGCGCCCTGAACACCCACACCTTGAGAAGCCTTCCAGGTATCAGTCCAAGCAAGCCTGGCGCATCAATCCAGGAGCTAGGGGGAGCTTGGCCTCCGCCGTCCAGGCAGGCTTTCTGGAATGGCTCCTTTGCGCTTGGTCGCAGGGGCCTTCTCTTTTCCCATCTCTCTGCTGTTTCCGCCTCACCAAGGTCTGTTTCCAGCCTCTGTGGAAACTACGTCTGTACCCCGCACTTTCTAATTGTACACTGGTGGATGCCTTCAAATTTACAAGTTTGTATTCGTTAATAGCCCGCCCAGGAGGCGCAGGCCAGTTTCCATTTCACGAGGACAAAAGAGCCCAGAGAGGGAGAGAAAATTGCCTTGGACACGCAGCAGCAGTCTGCTAGCAGAGGGAGCCCGGCACCATATCTTTCCTCTCCACGGTTTAACTCTGTGGGCACTAACACAGGTACAGGACTCATGCTCCCTGCCGACAGACCCATCATCTACTCAATGTCTCCTTTTTTCGGTAGTGCCACCAGGCCTGGTGACAAGTGCCTCTAGCTGCCGAACCATCTTGCTAGCCCCCGCCTGCTTTTAGTCCCAGTACCCAGAAGGCTGAAGCAAGAGGAACGTTTGCTCCTCCTGCTCCTTCCTCCAGACTGCTGGCTTGACAGGTACACACTACTGGGGTTGAATCACGTGATGCTGGAGATGGGAAGCCACAGCTTCAAAGTATGCTGGGTGAGCCACTGACCAACTGAGTTCCACCCCAGCCCTAACCGACTCCTTTGAAAACTGCCTTTAGAACAACGGGTAGGTCTTTCACGCCTCCCAGGTATAGTCTCCAAACCCTTTAACAACTCTGTCTCTTTAAATATTTAATCCTCCCAACCACCCACTGAGGCAGACTCAATTAGCACTCTGAACCCTAACAGCCTCTGGCACAGAAAGGTTAAGTAACTTCTCCTCAGGCCACGCAGCTAATGGGCGACCAGAACACAGGCATCCAAACCCCCAGACTCCTCCAGGCCTAGAGTTCTGTAGCCTAAGTTGCCACCTGACTTAAAGAGGAAGTGCCCCGCCACACTCTGGCAGCTCACTAAAGTCCTCTGATCCCCCGACAAGCTTCGGGAGTCTGTTCTCTTGGAATGTAGTTGGACTGGTCAGACCACTTTCCCTCTCTGTGATTCCTTCTTTTAAAATTCCCACCCAGGAGAGTGACAGCCCCACAGATCTCGGCGGGAGGCCGGGATGTCAAGCAGACCGCTTCTGGTAGGCTTAGTCTGGCTGGGTGAGTCCAGGGGAGCTGGGGGACCAAGTCGCTATTCCAGAAGCTTTACACAAACCAGACTGGCTCTGGGCTTGGAGGGTCCACTCAAGCCACATGTTGCAAGAGCAAGTCCCCAGCACCGTGACAGGGGTGTGCTCAGTCCCACCTGCAGCCATTTGTACAGACAGTTACTATTCACAGCCGCATTCAGGGCCAAGTGTGTGTGTGTGTGTGTGTGTGTGTGTGTGTCTGTCTGTCTGTCTGTCTGTCTGTGTCTGGGTGGGTGGGTAGGGGTATGTACATGTAAGTGCTGGTGCCCACAGAGACCAGTGGTACCAGATCCTCCGGGAGCTGGCACTGTAGGTAATTGTGACTTGCCCAGCATGGTGCTGAAAACTGAATTCAGGTTCTCTGAAAGGGCAGTCTGTGCTGCTGAACCGCCTCTCTAGCCTCCATCCTCATCATCTTTGTTGTTGTTCATTGAAACTGCAGCTTGTAGTTAGGCTAGACTGACTGGCCAGGGAGGTCCAGGGTCTTCCTGGCTGCAGCCCCCCAGCGCTGAGATTGCAGGCCTGCACGGCTGCACTGGTTATGTTCATCCACTGCTGCGCCTGCTGGTGCACATGGGTGGTTCTCAGTCAGAAAGCTGAAGTAGGAAAAGTTCAAGGCCTGCCCAGGCCACTTAGTGAAATCCTATGTCAAAATAAAAAGTCAAAAACTGGGGCAGGACAGGCAATGGTGGCATACGCCTTTAGTCTTAGCACTTGGGAGGCAGAGATCTCTGTGAGTTTGAGGCCAGCCTGGTCTACAGAAAGAGTTTCATGACAGCCAGTGATACAACAGAGAAACCCTGTCTGGAACCCCTTCTCCACAAAAACCTGGGGTTGGTAAGACGGCTCCGTGTATAAAGTCTGCTGTCAGGTCTAGTGATCTGAATTCCATCTCTGGGACTCACATGGTAGATGGATAGAATTGACTTTTGCGAGTTGTCCACTGACGTGAGTGCCATGGCATGCATGTAAACACACCCACATCTACCACCCTCCCCACACACAATAAATAAATGCATGTAATTTTAAAAGTGTAAGTACAAAGAGGACTGGGGTGTAGCTCAGTGGTAGAGCACCTGCCTAGAATCCCCCAGTGAGGGGCTGGGATGTGGCTCAGTAATAGAACAATCATCTACGGTGTGCAAGACTCTAAGTTCAAGCTCTAATACTGAAATAAAACAAATCAATTAAGTAGGCAAACGTGGCCTTGGTTTGATGCATGTCCTGTGTTGGATTGATAGCAGTGCAGAGGGTTAATGTAAATGACAGAGCTCATCAATTGATTGTGGTTGGGGATGGGGTATAGATGTTAGCAGGAGGGGACTAGGCCAACATTACTCAAGGGACATCATGGAGAGAAAGGCAGAGCAGGGTTTGACTTGTCTGTCAGGGTGAGAGGCTCAAACCTGGTCTCCGTGTCTCTTCCAGGACCTCGATTCTACAAGTTCCTCCACCGCCTCCCTGATGGAGGGGTCCAGAGGGCATCCCAGACCTCCCCTGGTGCCTAGGGCTCAGATGTGAGTATGCCATGGGAAGGGAGGAGGGTGGGGGATACTGCTTGTGCTCAGAAAGTACGCAAAGGACACCTGGGGCCTCTACGGTCCTTGCATAGTAAGAGACCAGGCCTGGCAGCCCGGAAAACATCAGGTTTAGGTGGACACCACCCCTGGTGGGTGCCGGTTATGTCAGGGGCTCTGCCAAGAAGCTGAGAGCTGGTGGCCCACCCTCCTGGGTGCTGGCTGTTCTCATCTGTGAAATGGGAATGACGATACTTACCTACCTCATCGCCCAGTTATGGGAATTAATTAATGTTTATAAAGGCCGTGGAGCGCCGCAGATGAAAGGCTATGCAGAAGTACAAAGTATTATTACGGTAATTACATGACACCATTATATCACGGGCCAAGAGCTTTCTGCAGCTTCGCTTATTACTGAGAATGGGCGATGGGAGGCAGATAAACCTAATCGCTCCCAACCATCATTCAAAACTCCAGGCCTATCTCCCTCTCCATTTCTGGAAGATTCTATCAGGCTTGGAAGGCATGATACAAGTGTCTCCAGCCCCAGGATCTCCTGTAGGGATGGGCAAGGGAAATGATGAGAAAGACTCACTTCGGATCTCTGTAGGGTTTTTTTTTCGTTGTTTATTTGTAGGTGGGTGGATATATATA